GCTGTGGCTTAGAATGAGTGAGTGCCGCAGAGCTGGGAGGATGAAATGCATGGGTATACATGAAGCCTTGGCAAAGTGCCTGGACATAGTGAGCGCTCAACACTATCAGCTCCTATTACCCCCTTCATTGATATCCATGAAGTTCCCTGGATTGGACTGTCAATTACCCCCTCACTGAATGCTTTAACGACTTTTCCCAGCCATCCTTCCAGCCCCTCTTCTCCCCAAAGGTACTGGATTTCTCCAAGCTGGTTGTCCTCCCCAGGAAAGTGACTTGGATAAGGGTAGCCTGGACAACCCTGAGTGTTCTAGGGAAGCTCTCTGGCCCAGTGTCCTCTCAGGTCCAGCTCTCCTCCATGGAGCATGCCAGAAGCCTCCCCTTTTCTCCTCGAGAGTCAGTGTCTGAGCTCCAGCCACAGAGCAGCCTGGCAGCAGCCCCACCCTCCACCCTCCACCCCACAGCCCACCCACAGCTCCCTCTGTTCCCTGCGTGGAGAGGGAGGGGCACTGGAAGGCCTGGCTGCTGACCTGGCCTTGGGTGTGAGCCTAAGGCTGCTTGATTATTAAAGTGAGGCTGCTAATCCCTCCTCTAGCCAGCCAGGAGAGATCAACAAAGCATCGTGATGTATACTTTCAATAGCTTACCATTTTATGTCAACTGTTGATAATTAATAAAAGTGTAATATGCAAATAGACAGAATGGCCAAACAGTGGAAAGACTGTTTGGACATCCTTCCGAATGACCTTCTAGAATCTAGAATCTAGATGAAGCCAGGGCTGCGAGGGCCAAGGCAGCCGGGGCTGCAAAAGCCTACTCTTGCAGGAATTTCATGCATAGGGCCTCTAGCATCTCAATAAATCTGAAATTAGGAACAGAAATTTCAATCAGAGTATTTGAAATTGGGCAGATTCCAATCAGAAGGGACAGTGGGGATACCTTATAACATTGTTTTTTTAAAGTAAGTGCTTTAGCCCATTTGCATCAGAATCATTAGGGGACATTTGCTAGATGCAGATTCCTGGGCCCCTCTCCTGACCTCCTAAATATACCTCTGGCGTGGGACCTGCCTTGAAATCTGTGTGTGTGTGTGTGTGTGTGTGTGTGTTAATCCTCACCTGAGGATATTTTCCCATTGGTTTTTAGGGAGAGTGGAAGAGAAAGGGAAAGACAGAAAAACATTGATGTGAGAGAAACACATTGATTGGTTGACTCCTGCACAAGCCCCGACCAGGGTCTTGGCCCAGGAAAGAGCCTGCAACCAAGGTATCTCCCTTGACTGGAATTGAACCCGGGACCCTTTGGTCCATAGGCTGATGCTCTATCCAAACCGGCTAGAGCAGTGGTCGGCAAACTCAGTCAACAGAGGCAAATTTCAATGGTACAATGATTGAAATTTCTTTTGAGAGCCAAATTTTTTAAAAATATATTTTATTGATTTTATTCAGAGAGGAAGGGAGAGAGATAGAGAGTTAGAAACATCGATGAGAGAGAGTCATCGATCAGCTGCCTCTTGCACACCCCCTACTGGGGATATGCCCGCAACCAAGGTACATGCCCTTGACCAGAATCGAACCCCGGACCCTTCAGTCCCCAAGCCGACGCTTTTTTTTTTTTTTTTAATATATTTTATTGATTTTATACAGAGAGGAAGGGAGAGAGATAGTTAGAAACATCAATGAGAGAGAGTGAGAGCCAAATTTTTTAAACTTAAACTTCTTCTAACGCCACTTCTTCAAAATAGGCTGGCCTAGGCCGTGATATTTTGTGGAAGAGCCACACTCAAGGGGCCAAAGAGCCGCATGTAGCTAGAGAGCCGCAGTTTGCCGACCACGTGGCTAGGGCAAAATTTGCATTTTAATCATGCATTCCAGTTGTTTGGAACAGCCCTCGTTTATGCATGCTACTCTGGGGGTAATTATTAGTAGGGTCTTTTACTCTCACTCAAAGGATGAAATGCATTAATATCCATGAAGTTCCCTGGATTGGACGTCAATTATATTTCTCCTCCTCGGAGTTGGTACTACAGAACCAACAGGACAAGGTGCCTGAGGTGGGGAGGCAAGATTTCCCGTCTTCTGGCACAGTGGGAAGGGCTCTGGGTCAGCTCAGAGCTTTAATGTGGGCGAGTACCCTCAAATCCCGTGGCCCATGTCCTGGCCTACATTGTTGGGTTGATGATGCTTCCCTCATCATCAGAATGGCTGGAGGGATTTGTTGTGTCCAGCATCTGGCAAAGAGGCTTCACCTAGAGCCACCAAAACAGATCAGAGCTGGCCTCCCCGTCTCAATTCCAGATTCCTTGAGCTGAACTCTGGAGGCCCTGTCACGAGGGCCCCATTTGCGAAGGCGGCACCAGACAGGCTGTGGGAATGAGCTTCACAGCTTTTGTCAAAGTAGCACAATAAAGCCCCCAAGTGTCTGCTCTTTGCAAATGGGGATGGCACATCAATTGTCGCATAAACAAAATAGCAGGCGCGGTGCAAACCCGGGGACAGATTACGCCTCTGCAGGGTGTGATTGGGGAAGGAGGGGTTCTTGGGATGGCTGGGTTTGTCTTTTCTCTGCCTAAAGCTCCAAGGCCCCTCTCCAGAGCCAGCCTCGCTCCCACAGATTGTCAGAGCTCAGGGGACTGCTCCTCCACTCTGGGAAGTGGCAGCCCAGGCAGGGACCCCACTGCCCTCAGCAGGAAGCCTAACCCCAGGGCCTCAGCTTCCCCAGAGCTCAGACCTCAGGGATTGGGCCAGTGTGAGGGATGTTTGCATCGGGTGCCCTCTGTGTTGTCAGAGAACCCTGTGACCTGCCTGTCCACTTCTGGGCAGACAGTGCCACACTCACAGCCAATCAAGTATTTGACATCATGTTAGGCCTGCAGTCAGAACCATGAGGAGACAGACCCCAGGACAAGTTCTGGCCCAGCCTCTCTGTGGGGTCAGCAGGGAAAAGCTGTGTCCTGGCTCAGGGATGAGCTGCTGGCAGCAGAAGGGTGAGCATCTGTACAAAACCTCTAAGAAGGCAGCCCAGAGACTCTGTGAGGGTAGGGACTGCATCTGTCTGGTTTTCCACCATATCCCTGAGCCTCGTATGAGGCCTGCCAAACTGTCACCAGTTCATGTCTGATGAGGAATGAGTGAATGGGTGGTGGTTGATCTTCCAGCTGCATATCTGGGGGTGCTTCCATGTAAAGGTCCTACCTTGGAAGAGAAGGAGAACAGGGGGTGAAGAAACAGGTCGCATTCTGGTTCCATCACTCAGGGACATCCAGGAGGACAGACGCTCATGCAGTACTGGTTGATGTGATAACCAAGCTGGCTACTTAAGTGGCTAATGGGTGGGAAGCACATACAGAGTGGATATGTTGTGAAAAGGGAGGATTCATGTCCTAGGCAGGATGGCATGAAATGGCACCACATTGCTAGGAATGGTAGATGATTTAAAACGTATGAATTTTTTATTTGTGGGATTTTCCATATAATATTTTCAGACCATGGCTGACCATGAGTAACTAAAACTGTTGAAAGCAAACGTGCAGATAAGAAGTAAATCAGAGGTGATTTTTTTTTTTTAAATGAACATAAGAACTTGAATTTGGCTTTAAAGAAGAGCAAAATTCCTCTATCAAATTCCTGGTTTTTCATTCTCTTGTGGCTAAATTCTAAGTGTAGGGACATAATCCATCTTCCTCGACGTGAGGGTCGTGATCATAAGATTTTCTCTTAACTTGAGTCCATTAGGCATAAGATCAAGACAAATGGGCATTTCCTCCAGGGAAATGGGCATTTCCTCCAGGGAATCTGAAGATGATTAACACACATGTTTAAGGAATTTCTCTGAAAAAAAATATTTTCTCAGACCCTTTTAAGGACCTAGTAAGCCCAGGGAGACAAAACTCTACACACACACACACACACACACACACACACACACACACACTTCCTGGGGCTCATCCCACCCTACTAGCAGCACATTGGGTATGAATTGACCCCTGACCTTCGCTGCAGAGGTGTGGAAAGGTGCTATAGTGCTACTCAGACAGATGATTCATCTTCAGCTCAGACTCCAAGAGCAGCAACTCTTTCTAGAAAGAGATTAACCCCCCTCCTGTCCCCAGAGCCAGGCAGCCATGCGTCCCACGACAAGACCTCAGCCAGCCGCAGGCTGGGAGCTCAGGTTGCGAGGACAGAGCTGCCACTCTCTGCTGCCCTCCATGGCACGGGCAGAGCCTTCTGCAGAAATCAACTGATTTAAGAATCTCCTCTCAAGACTGTGCCTTGAATAAGTGGGTAAGTGTAGACTTAATTATAAGAGCTCAAAGCAAAGCAGCAGCTGCCCAGGCCCACAACAGCCCTGCTGAGACAAACGCAACCCCAGACACACACAGCACAGGCCCGCATTGGGCCAAAACCGTCCCCTTGGCAAGTGTGAGCAAGGACGGGGAGGTCCTTGGGTGAGAAGAAGCTGATGCTCAATGGCAGCCATGTTTACTCTGTGAAGACTGTGGCCTCCTTCTCAAACAATCCTCTTGTCAGTTTCATAAACCCCTTTTCAGAGGCCATCTAAAACAGCTACCTAGGCTGAACACACACAACCTGGTCCCCAGAAACCCCATATAAAAGGAAGCCTTTATGGAACTCTATCCTAATAAGCCCAGGTGTGCCCAGGTGACTGGAGGGGTGGGAGAGCGGGCGACACTTGGCTGTGCGGCATCTCGGTGGTTTGCACCTGTGCCGTGGTTTCTGTTGTGTCCTGATGGGTCCCTCCTAGTGTCCATCTTGCCTCACCCATTTTGCTTTACAGATCCCCCAAAAGGAGGGGCCACGTCTCCTCCTCCAACCGTTTATGGGCTGCCACGATCAGAAACAATGTCTATCTAGTGCCCCTAAGGGAGAGAAATGTCTACATCCTGATTCCCCTCCACTTGAGTGATGACACCACTCCAGACAGGAGCCACGTCATCCCCTGCATACACACACCGCGCCTGACCCTTGCCCTGTCTCCACAGGTTTCGGCATGACCACGCCCGCCACCGTGGGTGGGAAGGCCTTCCTCATCGCCTATGGACTGTTCGGCTGCGCTGGGACCATCCTGTTCTTCAACCTCTTCCTGGAGCGCATCATCTCGCTGCTGGCCTTCATCATGCGCGCCTGCCGGGAGCACCAGCTGCGCCGCAGCGGCCTGCTGCCCGGCGCCTTCGGCGGCCGCGGCTCGGCGCTCTCGGAGGCCGAGGGCCTGGCGGGCTGGAAGCCGTCGGTGTACCACGTGCTGCTGATCCTGGGCCTGTTCGCCGTGCTGCTGTCGTGCTGCGCCTCGGCCATGTACGCCAGCGTGGAGGGCTGGGACTACGTGGACTCGCTCTACTTCTGCTTCGTCACCTTCAGCACCATCGGCTTCGGGGACCTGGTGAGCAGCCAGCGCGCCGCCTACCGGAACCAGGGGCTGTACCGCCTCGGCAACTTCCTCTTCATCCTGCTCGGCGTGTGCTGCATCTACTCGCTCTTCAACGTCATCTCCATCCTCATCAAGCAGGTGCTCAACTGGATGCTGCGCAAGCTGAGCTGCCGCTGCTGCGCGCGCTGCTGCCCGGCGGCGCCCGGCGCGCCCCTGGCCCGGCGCAACGCCATCACCCCGGGCTCCCGGCTGCGCCGCCGCCTGACCGCACTCGGCGTGGACCCCGCGGCCGCGGCCTGTGACAGCGACGCCGAGGGCCGCCGCCTGTCCGGGGAGCTCATCTCCATGCGCGACCTCACCGCCTCCAACAAGGTGTCGCTGGCGCTGCTGCAGAAGCAGCTGTCCGAGACGGCCAACGGCTACCCGCGCGGCGTGTGCGCCCACACGCGCCAGAACGGCTTCTCGGGCGGCGTGGGCGCGCTGGGCATCATGAACAACCGCCTGGCCGAGACCAGTGCCTCCAGGTAGACCCCCCCGACCATCCGACCGACCGCCGACGGCCTGCCCGCCCGCCTGCCCGCCTCGCCGCGTGCACCAGGGATCCCCAGGCTGGCTGGCGTGCCACCAGGCGTGGTTTGCTCTCCTTCTCTCAGACGCTGGCGCTTTCTTAATCTTTATCCAATAAAATGAAACCAAAAAAAATATTTTTTTTTTCAAGAAATACTACTTGGACAGGCCTGATGTGATCAGGGGCAGGTTGTGGGGGAAACCTGTTTTTTCTGGTGGGTCCCCTCTTCTTGGAGAACCGTGGCGGCCCCCAGCAGATTCTCCTCAGGGAGAGAGAAAGTGGCACCCAGACCCTCACGCGATGCAGATTGCAGCCAGGAGAGAGTGCCGGTCCTGGGTGGTGCAGACTGGCATTCAACCCGGTCCGTCCCCATGGGCATAAGCAGCCGGCAACCCCAAAACATATGGTGCGACTTCACGTGGCTCCGAGTTACCTCCGCAGCATTTAGAATCCTGGCCCAGCCTAGCAGCTTCCTTCTGGTCGTCAGAAGTGAGATAGTCACAGTTTTGACAGATGGGGGTGGGGAGGGCCATCTGTTACCTCCTGGTGCACATATATAGCACAGCCGCTACACACACAAGTGGTGTAGTATTACGCAATGAGATGAAACAAGCACCGACTCGGAGACCGTGGCGTTTCCGAGATTTGGAAATGGTGATGGTAAGGGGCTTAGCTGGCCTTTCTCAGCCTGTATTCCACTGAGCACAGTACCCAGGGCAGCTCCTTGTAAATGAAGGAAACCTGGGTGGCCTGCCCGAGGGGAGCTCTGGGCTGCAGGAGCCCCGCTCTGCGTCGCCTGCCTGATCTCAGAGGCTCCACACCTATCTCTGAACCCCCAACCCTCCTTTCTCTCACCAGCACCATCCACCAGATCGCTTCTCATCCTTAGCCAGGGATGTGCGTCTTCTCAGACAAGGCTCTGCTTTGTTAGTGTGGGCTCTTTTTTCTCCTTAACTCTGATCACTTCCGCATTTTTCCCCTTCAGAGAGAGCCTGAGGGTGCAGAACACAGCCCCAGCCCACCCTCCAGCTCTGACGAATAGGGCTCTGCCAGGAACCCAAAGCAGCCATTTCACACACGTCAGAAAACTGGGCTTCGGAGCCCATGTTTTGGAGGCACATGCCATCCTGAACCCTATGTGGCCCCCACAGATAATTGAGTGAGTGTGCTTCCCCCACAGAGTACGCACTGGAGGTGGAGGAAGCCGGGAGGGAGGGAGCTGAGGAGCAGGCCGATGGAAACAATCTGAGGATTCCGGTTTGGCTCTGGATGATCCTCAAGCTGAGGGACAGGTTCTCCCAGATGCTCCCTCTGCCACACGGGGGTCACTGACCTGGAGGAGGGCCAGGTCCCCCTCCTTTGATGAAAGGAAGGGGGGGGGGTGTCTTGGACTATGAAGGAACAAAACCTTCGGCTCATGTTTCTCATCTGGAAAGAGGATGATCCCAAGGACAAATGCCAGTGTTTAGTCAGACATGGTATGACCCAGCAACACACATAGACAGCTTCTGGCAGGAAGTCTTAGACAGCACCAGACGCCTCACACCACTGTCTGCCCGAGAAGCACTGAAAGCTGTGAAACCTCCCTCCCTGGCGGTGAGGAAAGCATATGTGTCTGGAACACACACATACACACATACACGCACGCGCTCTCTCTCTCTCTCTCTCACACACACACACACACAGACACACACACGCACGCATGCACATACACTATTAAGAGTCACACTTGAATGTCAGCTTCCCCTTTCCCTTTCTCGTTCATGCCAGAAGGGGAAAAATGATGCTCCAGCTACTTTGGCTAACTTCTAATTTGGGCTGAAATAGGTTTTTATACAAAGGCCCTAAACGGGGGACGTAGCCAAGGAGGTAGAGTGGCCAGGAGAGAGATCAGTGTTGCTAACTTCTAAAGGGCAGGCTTCCAGAGAGCCATGCTTCCAGGATCCACTGGTGATTGTCCAGCAAGCTCCTGAGCATCCCCGGCCCCCCACCACCACCACTGCCCGGAGTCCGAGTGACAGCGTGGTCACACGGGAGGGACCGTACCCTTGGGCACACGTTCCCAGGGCAGGGCCCTCTCACGGGGCCTAGAAATAAAGTGTCGGATTCATCCCTTAAAGGAAGGAAAAGATTAAAAAGCATCCAATTAGACGTGTCACCTAGGCAACGAGAAATAAGTCGGGGATCTGAGCCATCCAGAGAGGGAAGTAGAGATAGATCCCCATGGTAGAGGCATCTAGATGGTGAGGTCTTAATAGCTGGCAAACAGCAGCCAACCCAGAGGGAGGGAGCCCCAGGAACAGCACTGGAGGCCGAAGACCCAGTGGGCACGGCTCTCTGAGGCAGACAGGCTGAAGAGGTGCCCAGGCGACCCCAGGGACCACACACAGGACTGTGCAGGATCCTGTCCCCACAGAAGCGAACGGGACCTGCCCCCAGAGAACAACACTCCGAAGCCCCGTTGGCAATCTATTCTGTCAGCCGTGCCTCCTGACCTCTACCCTAAGATGCGCATGCCTCTGCCTCCGCTGTTCTCACTTCTTTTCCGACACTTGGCCTTTGAAAGGAGGCCCCTGTGGGCAGCTTGGGCAAGCTTCTGAAGGAACCGTAGGTTTGAGTGGGCTGGGAATAACCCTTCCCTCCCAGCCGCCTCCAGAAGAATACCAACCAGCCAATGTGCAGTGGTAGCTCAGGACCCAGTGGCACGTGTGTCTTTTGCCCGTGTTCTTCTGGTCCATCCCCCATCTCAGGACATCACTGCCCGTCACCTCAGGCCAAAAGGCTCCCCAGGTGCCAGGAAATGCTTCCTGGGAAAAGCCGGGCCCCCAAGTTCAGGGGGATTCATGGAGCTGAGACCACACCTAAAGGGATTGTCCGACACTCTGCTTAAGGGTGGGCACTGAGAACCAGAGTCCTTGACAAGCAGGAGTGGGGTCTCCCCGTCATTGACAGGGATCCCCTTCCTGGGTGCAGGTTCTGCAGAGGGGGAAGAGAGCACTCCATTTTCTTCGACGCTGTGGCCTCTCCCACCATGTGGGGTCTCCGGTTTGACACACAGCTGTCTCTACTCACTGCAGTACCAGGAGCCACTTCCTAACCTTAGCCCACACTCACTCACTCCGATGCTGGGATGCTGGGGCCGAGGGCAAAGATGGCATGAGCTCTTAAAGGGCCCTTGCCACCCTCTGTGGCCACTCAGAGGGTCTTGGTGAATAGCCGGGTCTTCTGACCCCAGTCGGCTCACCCACGTGGCCCTTGCTTGCTAATAAGGCCGGAAGGTCAGGCCCTTAGGTCCTTTGACTGAAGCTGGAGCCTCCTGGCCTGTGAAGGAGGCAGAGGTCTCAGGCAGCGGACAATGCCTGACAGTCCTGAGTATTTTCCAGGAGCCTCACACGTCACACTAACACACACACACACACACACACACACACACACACACACACACACACCAGCCTTACAAAGAGCGACTAGCTCCATTCCCCAAGGAAACATCCTAGTCTGTGTCACTTTAAGAAGAAGGATTTCTCATTTTTAACTCCCCGGAGATCTACTAGAGCCTGGAAACTTCTTCTCTGCCTGGGGAGGACTTCCACACACACGTTGCATGAGTTTGTGTTTTACACAGAAGCCACGAGCGCCCAAACCAAGCGAAGCCCTGGCAAATAGCTGCTGAATTTACCCAGGCTCCTGCCCCCACCCCCGTCCGGTCAGGCCCCCTGGCTGGGGCCCTCTGCCTGTGAGCTTTGGGGTGAGGGCAGACTGAATGCTCATGGCCAAAGGAGCCCCGAGTTTCTGGGGAACCGAGGCCGAGGGCAGCCCAGTGGGCCAGGTGGTTTCGTCTTACTGTAACTTCTTAACCAACAAAAAGCACAAACTCCACAGCAGGCACGCGGTCTGGAAAGCACCGCCGGACAGATTGCTGCGGGCAGGCACTGCTGAGGCCAGCGGAGGCTGCCGGGGCCTCTGTGGTGGTGGTTATACAACGCGCTTGCTCCATCCCCTGGGGTGGGGAGGGTGGAGAGCTGCTGAGCCCAGCGTGGACTCGTGGACTCGGGCCTGGACTCCTGCCCCTGGAGCAGCGTGGCCCGCACCTCCAGGCTCCCGCAGCGTCTCCGCCCCTCCCAGCCAGTCTGGTCTCTGCATTGAGAAGCTATGAGATTTCTGCCCTCACCTGGCCCAAGCCCTCTTCCCCTTTCTTCTAGCCTCCTCCCCTCCTCTTCCCCTCCATAAGGAAGCTCCCCACGGCTTTACAGATTATTTTCTATGCTTCATGTTCTCTCAGGAGGGGTGGGTAGAGCATGCGGCGCAGGCCTGAGGGTTTCTTAAACAATACATTTATTTTTCTGAGCAGCGCTCTGATAGAGGGCTTGAAAGGTGTCTGAATTAATGATGAATAAAATGTAGCCTGCCACCCCTTGAGCTGTTTGCTTTCTGTCTGTCAGAGCCACCTGCCTCCCAGCTCCCTGCTCACACCTCCTCTCGGGGCCCCCAGGGGACTTCTGTCTGGAGCATGGGCTTGGGTGGCAGCTCCCAAAAGGGCTGGTGGAGGCAGCAATGAACCTTGCAGGCAGCTTGGACAGATGGGCCAAGGCCAGTATCAGAGAGCCGGGGCGGGAAAGAAGGCAGGGGTGCTCAGGAAATGAGCGGGGGAGGGGGGGGGGGCGGTGCTGGAGGATGTGGCCCTGGTTCCCAGCTCTGGCTGTGCGCTGGTCTTCCCAAAGGCAGCTTAACGATACTGATGCCCATCCCCCATCCTGAGATTCCGATTTCAATGGCATGAGGAGGAGCACAGGCAGGCACTGGAATTTGGGGGAAGCTGCCAAGGTGATTCTAATGGTCACCCGAGGTCTTGAACCTACACCTGAACACAGAGCACTCACCCTGTGGTGTGGAAAGAGCTCTCTTGCAGAAGTTCGGACGTCTGGTTTCTAGTCCTGCGCCTGGCTGTCACTGAGCTTGCTCAGATCCGCAGTGTCCCTCGGGAGTCTAATGAAAAGTAAATGAGAGTCTGGGAAGTGTGAAAATTACAAACTGCTCCATAAATGCAGAGTCACCATTGTTAGAGGGATTCCATACCAACAAGAGGCCAGGCAGCCCCTGTCACCTCTGCAGGGGAGCCTTTGTGCAGGGCCAGCAGGGAAGAAGGCCGCCCATAATGCCTTTGCAAACCTGTCCTTATTGGCGCCACCTTCATCCCCATTAGAGCAGTGCCCAATAGTGCATGTTCCTCCGAGGCTCTCGCTCCCCTCCACAGCCCCCTCCCAGGCCAGCATCCTTTTCCTTCAGGTTGCCTTGGAGATGAGAAGTAATTGGCAGGTCACGCAAGTCCTGACCCTACCCACCTCGATCTGCAAAATCACCATCTGGCCTTCTCCAACCCAAAGCGTTTCATTCAACTGCAGTCACATCCACACTGGTCTTTAGTCTTCTTAACGCTCGTCAAAGGTACTTAATTGATTTCATGACCTTCCTATGAATCACCCCCAGCAGTTTGTAAAACATGGGCCTACACTCCTTCTGGAAAGAGACCTCCCCATTCCCCTGCTTCCCGCCGAGATCCTGCCTCCAGCCAGCTGTGGCAGGCAGCAGAGGGGTCTGGGCTCAGGTCACCCATCAGCCCTCTCTCCCTTTGGGACTCAGGCCCCAGCTGTGTCATCAGCTCGGGCAGGTGTTTTGGCTGCAGGAAGTGGTGCTTGTAAGGTGACCAGACATCCTGCTTTTGGCGGGACAGTCCCGATTTTTAATAATTTGTCCCACGTCCCGGACAAAAATCGGGACTTTTTTTTTTTAAACCGCGGGACACTGGACAAATTGTTAAAAACTGGGACTGTCCCGCCAAAAGCAGGACGTTTGGTCACCTTATGCTTACCTGCCTTTCAAGTCCTAAGGCCCGTGATTTGTGATTCCTATGGCAGGTTAGAGCCCCAGCCAGCATCCCTGGATGGACCACAAACCCATTCCCTTCCACGGTCAGTTAGCTTTCTGTGAAAAGATCTTTTCCTAATGAGAAGATTAAAAAAAAAAGAACTTCCGTTTACCCAGTCAGGCCCTTGGACAAGAGATTTGCATATTCATCTCGCTATCCCTTATTGACCCTAGGAATTTGGTACTTTTCTCCCATTTTGTCCCCAGTCAGAGAGATTAAGTTTTTGTCTAATTGGGGGCCAGGCACCCCGTGCTAGAGGCCGAAGAGACGGGGTGAGAAAGACAGCACAGTCCTCGCTGTCCCTGAACTGCAGACTCATGAGAGGCCGACGGGCACCGAGTATGGCAGGAGGTCACCGGCCGTCTGGGCTGCCGGTCAGGGTGGACAGGGAAGGCTCTCAGAGGTAGGCTGCCCAAGCTGAGAGGGAGCCCCAGTGAGCCTGCTGGTGGGGCAGGGAGTGTCAGGCAGAAGGAGTGGATGTGAGACAGAGACGGGAACCATGTGCAGAACCACAGGCCTGGAGTCCGCACAGTGCTCCCCTGACTGTAAGAACTGGCATCTGGGCAAAGCAATTACACTCCCGGCCCTTCCTTCTCCATTCTGAGGGACATGCTCATGGGAGGGGCTGGTGGAATCTCTAAAGAAGGGGTGTCGAACTCAATCAGAGAAGGGGCCAAAATCTAAAATCCAGCCTAAATCGCGGGCCGAATGGTTTAC